AAAGAAGACAGGGAGGGAGTCGTTTGGTGGCAGATTTTATTTCAACATAAGGAAGACTATGCTCATAATTAGAGACAAAATAGAGTGAATTCCCTTTAAAATCAGAGGTAGATTGTCGCCCGGACTGTGTGTCTCAGTGGTTGAGCATCGATTCATGCACCAAAGGGTCACCAGTTCGATTCCCGGTCAGGGCACATGCCCAGGTTGTGGGCTCAATCCCCAGTGGGGAGCATGCAGGAGGCAGCCAGTCGATGTTCTCTCTCATCGATGTTTCTATCTCTCTCTCCCTCTCCCTTCCTCTTTCTCTAAAATCAATAAAGAAAAAAAAATTGAAAAAAATATAAAATAAAGTCAGAGGTAGATGGTCTACCTGTATTAGAAACAGTGCAGCAGAAGAACTCCAAGGTGCCGTCCAGCGTTAGCCCTGTGTGGTATGAGGTCAACCCTGAACTGTGCAAGTAAGGGAAGTGATCGTTAACTGGTGGAACAGATACGCAGAAAACATTTTCCAAGAAGAGTCTTACTCTGTCAACAAGGGCTGTGAGGGAAAGGGGAAGAGAGAGGAGCAAAGGACAGGGACAGCTGCTGGGGAAGGTGCCCAAGTCCCAGCATTAGCTCACCCAATGCTCTCCCTGCTTCCTGAACGAAACAACCAGGACAAAGACCTGACAATGAATCGGAACTTATGGAAATTTGGGGACTGTGACAGGGTAAGGTGGCTCTGGAAATGAGGACCTACCTTGCTTGAGCAAAACAGTCATGGAGAACCAGGAGCTGATGCAAGAGGGATGAAAGAGGAAGAATTAATGGGATCTGATGACTAATTGCATATTCTGGGAAAGAAGAACAAAAGTAAACATACTCTCGCTGATTTACTGAGTATGGAGGGGGTGGGCAAGAAAGAAAAAGTCTTTAGTCTGGTATCACACAATTATTACTACTGAGTGTGTAAGAAGATGACAGACCCACGGAGAGAAATGGCCAGAGGTTCCCAGAGGTTAGCCAGGCTGCCAGCAGTGCCCGGGGCTATTGGTGCTGTGCACACCACTTGTGTGTGCTGCTGTGGAACAGAAGGGTGCTCTGGAGACAGGCACCAGCTGTGTGGCCTTTTCATCTCTGTGCCCATTTCTTCATTTGTAAAATGAGCACGATCTGTGTTCTTACATAAAAAGGTTACAGAATTAATTATAATAATACAGGCAGCCCTGGCCGGTTTGGCTCAGCAGTTAGAGCGTCGACCTGCGGTCCTGAGAGACCCGGGTTCGGTTCCCGCTAAGGGCGCGTACCTCGGTTGCAGTTTGCCCCCGGCCCTGGTCGGTCATGCAGGTGGCAGCCACTCGATGTGTCCCTTCACGTCGATGTTTCTCTCTCTCTCTCTCTGTTCCTCTCTCTCCCTCCCACTCTACCTGAACAAAAAAATGGGAAAATGTCTTCGGGTGAGGATAAAAAATAAAATAAAATAAATTAAAAAAATAATACAGGCAGTGTGTTTACAACTATGCTTGGTCCATAGTAACTGTTCAGTAAATATTTGCTCTTATTTTATTACAACTACAACTACTATGACTATTACTACCACTACCTTAAACAACTCAACAGCAAAATCTCATTGAATACACTAAAGACTTCAGCGAGGTAAGATGTAGTCCAAACTGTTGGAGTCTTTCACACTTGGCACGGCCCAGGATTCCTGGCATGTCCTGTCTAAAGTAGTTCAACTCTGAAAGACTTGAGAGAAGTCCTGAGATATGGCCCTGAGTCCCAAGTCAGAGTGGGAGTCCTGTGAGTCCTCCAGGATTATTCTGCCCTGAGGTGCCCTCTCCTTGCAGGTGTGCTCCAGCTGCTGTCTTGCCTTGCTCAATGGTTACACATATTCACTGTTATTACAGGAAAGGATTTCTTATTTATTGGGATATACAACTTGGTCTTTATATAAATAGCTTTTCTTCATTCCTCAAACCATCGTCCTCCTTTGTTACAAACTATAACAGGCATCCCTAAAAAGGAACACTTATCCTAAAAGAATGAGGAAGTGTTTAACAAGCATAAAGGAAGGAGTACCGAATTAAAGTCCAGAGCCTACTGTTGATTTAGTGTGTACGTCTTCAGCTCTCTGACATTGTTTCCTCCCTTATAAAACAGAAATTTGGTCTGTTTGGTCAACTTTACAACACTGGCATGCAGGACAAGTGAACTCAAGTCCGCACCTCTCAGTTGTATTGCCAGGGCACACCCTTTACAGGGAGGTGCTCAAATACGCCCATCAACAATATATCTGTCAATGCTAAGGATGTAGGAAATGTCAATAAACAACTTTATTCTTCAAAAATAATTTCTATTTTAATACCTCCTTTCTATAGTAACAATTATTTTTGCATTATCTTCAGCTAGCCATTAAGATCTATGACACTCTATATTACCACATATATTAAAATATCCAAATTCACACATTTAGGAGTCATATGTAATATCCAAATATCTATCTTTGGGGGAAATGTATAAAAATGACACTAAAAGGCTTGAATTTTTTGTGAAACACTCTTGGCATTCCAAGTCAGAAAGAATAAAGAAAAAGTTGCATGAGATAGAGGAAATAGCACTGAATCAGATAGATCTGGACTCACAGATCCCCGCTCCATCACTTATGAACTTTGTCATCTGACAAGGTTAATCACTCCTTTGAGTTTCTATTTCTTCACTTGTAAAATGAGAACACTAGCACATACCTCGCTGGGTTGTCCCAAAGTTCAAAGTTAACAGTACAGAATGCGTGAAACTCCTGGAATAGTGCTCAGCAGCTATTTCTTCTCCTCCATGCCGGGAAGAGATAACAATGTGACAGTGCTCATGCGTGAAGCCATGAGGAAATAGTTTTACACAGTCTCACCAAAATTCTAGATAACCTGTCATATATTTAAAACCGTTTAGAATGCTTGTGTCCAGCCACACCCACAAAGAGAAAGGAAAGAGTATTTTTCAAAAGAAATTACTGAAAGATATAATTGTTGTTAATTATAACAACACCTTAACACAAGGGGACTACCTGAACCAGATGCACAAAAGGGGAAGTGGAAATGAAACCTTCTCTCTTCCTTACTCTCAACTACCGCAGGAGACTGGGACCTTCAAAGAGGAGCTCAGGGTGGTGGTTAGGAGCACCAATTACGGAGTCAGAGCAGCCTAGGTCCAAAGTCTGACCCTTCCACTCACTTAACTGATGAGAAAAGTTGCATAATTCTCTAATCATTAGTTTCCTTTTGCAAGTAATAATAATAAACTTATGAAAATACCTACTTGCATGAGATGTTATAGAATGAAATGAAATTCATACATAAATCTCTTAGCATATAAGTGATCAGTAAAGAAGAAATTATAGCTTGATGATGATGATGATATGGGATACGGGAAGCTTTGCTGCCTGGATGCTATGAAGAACTCAGGGTCTTAGGAATTTGAGCCAAGGGAGGGGGAGATAAAAGAGCCCCTTCCTGGGCTGCCATGGGCCAGCTTCCCATTGGTTTGCTGCTGTGGTCCCTCAGACCGTCCTCTGTGCTCTCAAATCTCCCTGGCCCAGCCAGAGTCTTAGATAGCCAAAGCGACTCCCAGGGTTATGAGGAGTGGAGATCCAAGCTCAGCTCCAAACTCACCCCTTAGGTGATCTAGAGGCTTTGGGTCAAGGTTTGGAAAACCTCTAAACCCCACCGATAAAAGGAGTATCAACCACATGTTTTATTTCCCAAAACCCCTCAGGAGCTCTGCCTACGGGGAACCGAAAGTCCCCTGGTAAGATCTTCAAGGCTACATCCGTAGAGGTATCTAAAGAGCACTTCACTAACCACACTTCAGCTCCCCTCTGCACCCTCCCAGCAGCGCCTCTAACTACATCTGTATTTAGTATTTTCACGTTTCTACCCTCGGTTATGTTAAAATTCCCAGCTCCTTGTTTCAAATGCATTTTATGCTGTTCAACTTTAAAATAAAAGATCAGCATGAAAGAAAATTTATTTTATTTTATTTTTTTTTATCCTCAACCGAGGACATTTTTCCATTTTTTGTTCAGATAGAGCGGGAGGGAGAGAGAGGAAGAGAGAGAGAGAGAAACATCGATGTGAAGGGACACATCGAGTGGCTGCCACCCGCACGACCAACCAGGGCCGGGGACAAACTGCAACCGAGGTACGTGCCCTTAGCGGGAACCGAACCCGGGTTTCTCTGTACCGCAGGTCGACGCTCTAACCGCTGAGCCAAACCGGCCAGGGCAAGAAAATTTAAGTTATCAAAGAAAACAAAGAATCCCAGATCAGTAAGAATCGAATCTGAAGATCTAAAAAGAAAAATATATTAGTATCAGAGATTATTTGTTCTCAATACCTTTACATGGGTCGACACAGTCATTAGCTAAACTGTCAGTTAAATCAGTATTAAATCTGAACTTATTTAAAATATCTTATATTATTATTATTGAAGTACTCACCCTAGCACCAGGGTAATAAAATTTATCAACACAGTAAAGTATTGTTTTTAAAATCTAATTAAAGCACACAGTTGCTTAATAATCTCTGTGGTCAATGGTCAAAGGATACCTTACACCTGCAAACCATTCAACATAAACATTTAAAAATAGACATTCCTTTCAGTTTCATACAAAAGTAAAATTCTGTATTATAATCTGTGATTATGATTTCTGTAAATTAACTGTGATAACTTTTTGCAGTTGAGTGTACAAATGAATTAGGTCCAATATTTACTACTCAGGGTATCAAGGACTCATGTTAACTCCTATCTTATGAACGCATGCAATTAATTATTTTCAGTCAGTAAAAACAACCCTGAAAAAAATATATGGAAAATACCATGATATTAATATATTTATAGAAACAGTGATTGTTATTTCTCCTTAATCTTACCTATGCACATTACTGCTCTGCTGACGTCCTTACACAGAGGACATGACATGAAAACACCCGGGGGATTCCCTATTAATGAAGTCTTCTACTTACCATCCTTTAATTCTTTTTGCAAGATGATGTTTCTTGTATAAGAGAACTTTTATCGGAACCCAAATCAATAGACTCACTGAAGCCACATAGGCAATCGAACAGGAAACGATGAGCCAATAATGAGTTTTTTCTGCTCTGTTCCTCGAGCTCTGATAGGCAGTGGCAAACTGCTCCACGATCACCAGCGTGGGGATGGAGAAGGCAGCAAACTCCAGCAGCTCAAATACCACGAGCTTGATTAGTCTTCCTGAGGCCATCTCGAGGGAATGCGGGCAGCTGAGGGCCAATCGCTCGCCCTCCGACTGCCAGCAGCATATGGACACACAGACACTGAGCTGGGATCAAGTTCCTTGTACTCGAATCACTAACCAGTGACTTTTTTATTCTTTTATTGACCCTCATATGGTTCAATGATCTTCCAACTTAACAACCGAGGTCTCTTAAAGAAACAGAGCAATTGGGGAAGCGATCACCTCATGTGTTTGCACATCATTATTAGAAGTCAAATGGATTTCAGAACATGCTTGGAAGCACTGTTAAAAAGAGGTCTTTTAATGTAGCTTTTAGTGCTGATTTGAGCACCAGAAAATGTTTATGTAATATTTAACACTTGTTAAGCAGAACCATTGGAAGAATACAATTTTACAGTTAAAGGGGAATCCAATCTCCTATTTTTACATAGAAGCAAATTCAGGCAAAGCGAAATATCCAAAACCTGAGTCTAAATCTTGAAAAACAACACCTCATTTTTCTTCTATGTGCTTGAAAAGGGAGTTTGGATTTATTTGCTAACCTTCTAACCAAGCTCTTCTTGATACTTGAATTGTTCATTTGTTCTTACACACTAACTGCTAAGTAACACAGACTATTTTTCTTTTTCTGGTCAGGAAACTCAGATGGCAATATTAGAAACCTGTTAACAGGATTAACGCTAAATTAAGACATATCTACATCTAGCCCCAAAACATATCAAATGCTTAAAACACAACTGTTTCCATGAAGAGCCTTCCTTAACACCTGTGACAAACACCTTACTAGGTGCTGGGGTGTGAGGATGAATGAGTGACAGAAGGTTCCCGCCCTGAAAACACTCACAGTCCACAGGAGAAAACCACCCTATGAGCAACAAAAAATAACTGAGGTCAGAATTAGAACCTAAATGCTATGGTAACACAGAAGAGAACTTCCTCTTGGGGCTGTGGGGAAGGGAGGGACGAGCAGGATGGATGACAGGTGTTGGGGCGTCAGTGACATTTCAGGCAGTAAAAAGGAGCAAGGAGGCTGGAGTGGGTTTCAGAGTCCACTGTAGCATGCAGGAAACAGGGGAAGGTAAGGCTAGAAAAATCAGCTGGGGTTAGAATGTAAATATCCTATGAAGAATTTGAGGTGTGTGTGTGTGTGTGTGTGTAAGCAATTTTTTTTCCCCCGAACAGAGGAGTCAATCATCTGAACGGAGAATGAGTGCAGGTGTGGAGGAAGGACAGGAGCAACATTAACCTGGAGGCGTGAGGCCAGCTGGGAGCTCTAGGGCAACCTGGGGGAGAGATGAGAGCCTTGTCTAAAACACACGGAGTGGGACGAGGAGAGCCCTGCACCCACACATGGCCTGGAATCCCCTCTACATGCTCGCTCTTCAGATGGCTTCCCCTGTACCTGCTGACAGACTGGCGCAAGCCAGTGTCTCTCTAGGCTCCTCTCTCCCAAGGTCCTTGCAGCAGGGGCCTGCACTGTGGCTCTCCAGACGGACCCCAGCCCTCCCACTGCGGGACAATTAGCCAGCCAGTTCCTCAAGCCATCTAGTTATTTTATTTGAACTTGAAATTTGAACTCACCCAAGTTTGGCAGAAGTTCTCTCAAATGAAAGAGAGATTTGGAAGAATGGTGACAAGAATATGGAAGGATGGAGCAGAAAGCCACCCGAGCAGAGGTTCTGTGGCCGGCTGGGTCCAACGTCATGTAACTGACATTAATTCTCTAAATTCTCTAAATCATCCCTAACAAAAATTGCTATTTGCAAGATACCAGATACAAAGTATATGTTAACCTCCTAATCCTTTGACTTGTGTCATCAATGCTCTGTTGCATTGCGATATCTTATAAAATTTTGTGTATTTTTATTTATATATCAATTCTTATTGATATATATATCAATACATATATATACACATATATACATATATATTTTTTTATTTTTTAGAGAGAAAGAGAAAGTGAAAGATAGAAACGTTGATTGGCTGCCTCCTGCATGCCCCCCACTGGGGGTCGAACCCACAACCTGGGCATGTGCCCTGACCAGGAATGGAACCAGGACCTCTCAGTCCATGGGATAATGCTGAATCCTCAGAGCCACACCAGCAGGCTAAAATGTTGTGTATTAATAAAAATTGTGACCTGATCATTTGAAGACAGTTGTTGAATAAAAATATCCTGGCTCCAGGAAAAAGAAACTTTGCCCTGGTCTATAATTCCATATTAAATGCTTAGGTTTTATTTCCATTTATGGGAATTTAAATTGACACTCACTTTACATTTTTGTGCCTATAATTCTCCTCTGGTTCTCGATCTCTCTTCACCTTTACCTTCAAGGACCACCCGAGGCTGCGAGCATTCCTGGGCCGAGACGTGCTGCCTTCTGTCACAGGGGCGCTGCAGAAGCGGGTTGTCTTCTCGGAGGCAGGAAGGCTACCTTCTCCCCCTCTGCCCACAGTGAGCCCGACTCCCTGTAAAGGGAAGAAGTGTTAACACTGTTCATTGAACACTCACAGTGTACCGGTCATGGGAGACACTCAGTTCGTATTGACCCCACTGTGGTTGGAGAGATGACACTAATGCACAGCTAAGACCTGAGCACATTTATAGAGTGAGCTGGGCAAGTTAGGTGTGTGAAGAGCTAACCAGCCCACAGCCCCCCATCCCCTTCCTCCAGTAACATCTGGATGAGCAGGCTCTGGGCCACAGAACGTCCGGATGGCTAAGTGTGGCGTGGCACAGACTGGGCCCATCACTTTTCCACCCTTAGGAATTTGAACTAAGAAACATGGGAAGAATTTGATAAGTGGAATCAAAAGAGGCTATGATTTTAGCCCTGGCTGGTTTGTCTCAATGTTTAGAGCCTCAGCCCATGGACCAAAGAGTCTTGGGTTTGATTCCCAGTCAAGGTCACGTACCTTGGTTGCGGGTTTGATCCCTGCCTCGGACGGGGTCGTGCAGGAGGCAACCAATCAATGTGTCTCTCTCATATCAATGTTTCTCTCTCTTTCTCCTCCCGCCCCCACTCTATCTTAAAAAACAAACAAACAAACAAACAAACAAACAAAACAACCAATGGAAAAATATCCTTGGGTGAGGATTTAAAAAAATAATCATAAAATAAATAAGAGTCCATGATTTTGATCAAGTCGTGACTACAGCATCCCAAACGGTATGTGCTAGAACCATGTCTAGCGTGTTGTTGACACTCAGTAACCACTTGTTGAGTGAGTGAATGAATGAATGAATGAATGAACAAGTGGCAGCCGAATGGTGAGGGAATAGAAGAGTTGGTAGAGTAAGGGAGCCAATCCAGAAAGAAAGACACCGGAACGAATCCATGGGGAGATGCCAGCACACAAAGAAAGACCAGTCCCTCGGTTGAGCTTTTCAGTTCACCTGTATTCTTACAACTTGGGGCCTCTGTTCTTCGCAACCCGAAGGGCTTTAGTATAAGACACAAGAATATGTTTATGAGCAGGGGCCAAATATCAGATAGAAACAATATGTAAAACTACTGGATGATTCAGGGGAGAGGACAGACCCCCAAAAATCAAAGTAGAGTTGATCAGAGAAGGCCTCTCAAAGGAGGTGAGTTTGGGCCTGTCTTGATTTTTCTATTGACTCTAAGCAATACTGATATATTGCTACAGCACCTCTCTATATTATATAATTACAATTCCTTGGAAAAGCAGTTCTAAGAATGTTCATGAGGTAGTGAGTTGGGGAGAGGGTTGGGAGAGAAAAGCAAGTGGCTGATACTATGTATGACAATATGGTTGACAAAATCTCATTTTTGTTTTAAAATATAGTTTTAGATTTAAATGTAAATTAAAAATCCATAAAGACACTTATCAAACTGTTAACGGTGCTGGCCCTGGAGGTGGGTTGGAGAGGGTTTTCATTTTCATTTACTAATATCTGTATAGTTGCAATATTTCACAAGCAAAATATTGAGAAAATAATTTTAGACAAATAAAAATCAATTAAACACAGCAATTCCAGCTTCGTAAAACTTATGTGCTTTATTTTTCTCTCTCCTCCACTAATTTGTTTTCCCTAACCTCTCGGTAGAAGCAAAATAAACACATACCTCTTGCACTTTATCTCTTAATGGCAGTACTAACAGATAGGAGAAAGCCTTGACTGACAGTTTCCTGGAGGGCATTTGGGGTTGAATTTGATTGCCTTCTGGTCTCCCAGGAGAGTGTGAAGAAACAGCCCCAGCCCTCTGTCCTGTTTCAGGTCTGTGTGAACCTTTACCTAGCTTCTCCTCCTCCGAGCAGAAGTGAGCATTTCCTCCTTTGTGTCAAAACATCTGTATCGTTCAGACTTCTTCCAGGGCACTTCCCTCTGTGTTTGTGCCCTGGGTCCCCTACAAAACCCGACGCTCTTCGCAGGCAGACAACATCTGCTTTCAACTTTGAAGGTCTCAGCACGCAGCCTTCTTACTCCACAATGCCCACCTGTGGAAGGAAGGGACCACCGCCGAAGGGTAAGAGCAGTGGTGGGCCGCAGGGGCATGTGCTAGGCTCTGGGAATGCTGCCCCTCACACTGACCTTTCAGAAGAAGAAATCAGGAACTACCTGTCGCGGTACAATCCGTCCACTCACGCCTCCTTCCTCTGCGGCCACGGCTCCCTGGAGTCCCTCGGGAAAAGAGAGGAAAGAAACCAGCCCCTGGGGATCGCAGTTCCTTAATCTCATCGCACCGTTGCGAGCGCAGTCACACAGGCTCCAGAGGTCCCAGTGCTGCTCTCCCTCCCAACCTCTCCCATCCCGCGTGCCCTCAGAAAAGCACGTCCAGTAACGGACTGAACCATTAATGAAGGAGGCCTGAGAGCGCTGTCTGGTATTTGTCTGGTCCAAGGCACAGCCTTCAATCATTTCAGAGTCCTCAGTCCTTCTAAAGTGTCATTTGTCTACATTTTCCGTCCCAGATTGGGAGAAAGGGGAGGTTTCCTCACAAGGCACGGAGGAATGAGCAGAAGGCCACTGACATGACGCT